CCCCATATACAGTGTGATCCCGTCTTTATTACACAGGTAGATAAAACATTGGAATGTAATATAAAATCTTAAGAATGATTAAGTCTGGGTAGAGCGGGATATTAGGTGATTTTTAGAATTTTTTTTTACTTTTCTGTATTCTAAAATTTCTTCAATGAATATGCCATTACTTTTTTATTTAAGAAATCTGTATTTAAAATTTTGCTTTAGTGCTTGATTCCATTTGAAACATAAAAAGAAAAAAGGGGGGGTGAATTTTATGTCTCTTAGGGATAAGATATATTTGCAGAAAAGGTAAATACTATATTCATCAGATACAAAGACATATTTATTAAATATGAAGGATTCAATGAGTCCTAACAGAAAGAACATACCCAGTTCTAAAGGCCACGACAGTGTTGGTTTGGAATACACTAGAAGTCAGACTGATATAGTAACAACTTCTGGAGACTGATCATAGACCAGAGAAGGCATGGATACATTAGAACTGAATATATCCTACTTCTATATTTACTTGTATATAAATAAATACACTCATGAACATAGTTCCTCCTGTAGGAGCCAGTGCACAAACATGTGTTGAATTGAAATTGATGAGGTTTTGGGGTGATGGGGGGTTCTTGGGGTCTGGAGCCGAAGTCAAGAAAGAATTCTTGAGATGTCTTTGGGACAAAAAGGTGATTTTATTAAAGCATGGGGACAGGATCCGTGGGCAGAAAGAGCTGTGCTGGGGCTGTGAAGAATGACTGGTTTAACACTATGGAGCTGGGGGAGGTGAAGTCACAAGGGAAGCCTCCAGAAGGACTTTCATAAGCTAAAGAAGGACTTTCCTAAGATACCTGAGGCCTTGCTATTGTCACGCTAAGGTTGTTTTCCCTCCACTAAGGCATTAACATTAGGACGGTAGGGGGTTCCTGCAGAAAAGTTCTGCTCTGTATTTGCCTCAGGTATTTGCCAATGGGCTGCAGGTTATAAGGACACTGAATTTTACTTGCCGTTTCCTTCTTGCCTTCGTTCCCCACATCACTATGGAGGGGACGGTGATGTTGGGGCTCCGGGAAACAGTCTACAGTCTTCTGGAGATTAAGGTATTGACAAGATTGCTTTTTTCTTGTAATTTACTAAGATATTTGTAAACTGGTGGAGACCCATGTCCTGTATGACTGGGACCTATATCAGTTGGCCATTTGTCTTTCCTTTCCTTTGTCCTTGGGCAGCCA